CAACAAAGAGTAAATGTGAAAAGAAGAAAATATTTTTGATAAATCTTGTGAAAAACTTTAAAATGTTCTCAAAATAAAATCTTTGGAATGAAAATCAATCATTGAAAACTATTGATTTATTAAATAAATAAAAATAATTCCATTTTCATGCATTCCACATTTGAAGAGATGTTCAAAACACATACAACTGCAATCGTGTATGACGAGTTAAATATGATGTATGTGGAGGGAATACAATTGCGCACATCTTCTGGGGTATGGCAAATATACACACCAGCTCGGTCAAAAAGGCCGAACCCTGACGTCCTCGACCCTGATGCTAATAGAAGGGTAAGGCAAAAGAACAGCGTCTTGCGATAGTAATACTATGTGTATATACATTCCCACAAAGAATCCAATTTCAGTGTCTTGACTATAGGAAGCACAAACCAGAAAAACAAATGAAGGAAACCCCTTTCCAAAAACCACTGTACCTCCACTTTTCGTGCCAATGATGAATAATTGTTCCAGCTATGATCAAATTTTTAAAGGAGCCTTAAAAAACAGAAGATTTCGAAATGAAAATAACTCTAGCAAATTAAAATAAACGCCGAAAAACTCCAAATACCTACAAGGTAAATAATAAAACATTTATCAGCCAAACAGTAAACGTATACTATACATACCAGTGAAACAGAACGTGCGTATAGAGTTGTCTTGCGACAAATACATCATACGGTAGACGTAAAAGATTCAAGGCTGCCGCTCTGGAAAAGGATCACAAAGTTAAAACAATAAACTGTCCGGCCACAGGCTAACTAAATCACCTCGCCTCTATTTTTTGTAGACCTTGAAGCCCAAACCTAACAACAAAGACAGTGTCAAAATTAACCGACTGTTAAAATTGTGTTGTTTGCCCTTTCGAACCACCACCCTGAAAACGCGAGATAGTACAATGGCCAAAAAAACTGGTCAGAGATATGAACATACCAGGTCGTACTGTGCATACCCGTACAGGTGTGTTAAATGTGCGAAAAGAACACGACCCCAGATAAGTGTTATAAGAAAAGCAAAGTCCAACCCAACTTGTGCTCTGTGTGAAGGCAACCATCCGCCAACTACAAAGGTTGCAAGTATACCAAGAAATATTTAAAAAGGAAAGGTACCAAAACTCAGTAAACACAGAATGTTTCAACAAGAGATGCATGTGCAAACACAAAAAGCGAACATTGAAACTACTTATTCATCACGAAAACTCACAAGAAGTGACATGGTAATGCAGGAACATGGGCCGATGTTGCGCGACCAAAGCCTGTAGAAAGACAATCAAACACCAACGACCGATAGCAATTCCCATTATTGAAAAATTATACACACTCCTTTGGAGAGGTTTGAAAACAACTAATGCCAGCAAAGTCAACAAATAAACTCTCTCATTAACCTCATAACGTCCGCTTGGTCTCCAAACTATCTAATGCCTAAATTGCCTTCGCATGCCAGCTTGGAACGCCAACGGCTCTTGGCAAATCATCGCCAAGAATCGAAATATTTCTCAACCCCCCGAAAACAAAAATTTTTTCATAATGAAATGCTATCGCTACTGTTGGTCCGTTATGACATTGTCTCACTTCTAACAGGCTTGGTCGCGCAAATCGGCCCATGTTGCCTGCTTCTATGCGAATCTCATCTGTTCCACTTCATTGCGAGATATTGTAAAGCACTTTAACAGCGTGAGAAAATGAAACAGTAGTTTTCCCAATAGCTTTCTCATTACGTACTAAAACATCCCTCCGCTGTTTGTAGTGGTCTAGCCAACCTGCACCATTGGGATTTCGCTTGAGCGTAGCATGTAAATCTAAATTCTTAAGTAGTTTTACCGCTAGCTTTAGTAAACATCGTAACAAACGGAAGCTGTACATGATACCACAGGCATTTTCCACTTTTCCAACGACGTTCTTCAGATATAACCTTTTAGCTACCTTTGGATCGTAGGTATGGTCCGGACCGAATTACCATCAGTGCACTAGGTTCACTGCCTTCCACTCCAGAAAGCAGATGTCAACATATGTGACATTATTCTTTCATCATATCTATATCAAGACAATTCTTGATACTACCGGGCTCCTAGTTTGTTTTCATGTTGTCATACTTATAACGACCACACATGTTACAGGGATTAATGGCGAAATGACTTACGGATGCGTGGGAGGAGACTACAATGCCAAACACCCCTACGCGGGATATGTTCTATATCTCTTTGACAGTATTTTCCTAGGGGCATCTCATGTCACTCCTATCTAAGAGCGCGGATGAGATTCAACTGCGTAGACAAGCAGTTACCTCAGCTTCAGCCTGTAGAGTGCCATGTTTCCGCTAAACAGGAGAACTACACTAAACTAGAGCCCAAAATTTAACGCGGTTAATTTTGAACAACTTCTTTGTGTTTACTGATTCTCGGATTAACCAAAACTCAGATGCTAATTCCATATCATAAAAGCGTCATAAAGCAGAAAATCCAATAGTAACCCCAGAACATAACGTGTGCAATTTAGTTTTAGACCGAATCTTCCCACGAACTGTCCTCAGACCACACTCCAATAATATTGATTCTGAGCGACATTGTTAATCTTTTAAGCTTATGTGAATCCTTTTCCAGAAGCGCAGCCTGTGCTAATCCTAATTTACGATCATTTAACCGTTATCGTACAAGATTACTCGTCGTGTCCGCCGAGCACAAAACGTCCTCATACGCATACGTTCTTGTTCTCAACGAACTAGGAGAATGATCGAAACTGGAACTTGTATAAATAATAAACAGTAGTATTATACATATTGACTGAAACATTTGGCCGTGAATATAACCACTGAATTATCAAGTTACTTTACCTGTACTGGATTGACTCACATTTAGGAAGCGAATCGATTCCCGCGTTATTTGAATTTTGCTAGAGATTTATTTTCCGAAATCTTTTCTGTTTATAGGCTTCCGCATGTTATAAAAATTTTGATCATAGCCTATGGAAGTACCAAAAAATTATTTCCAAATTTTGCGACCGCATTGGACGCCAGACTATATCGGAACCGCAACTTCGCTACAACTCAGGCGGCGTGTAGCCAGATTGGATCTCTATAAGAGTGTACTATAATGGTTTCGTATCCAACAATTGTATTTCTTTAGTCCGCCTAATACATTATAACAAGAGGCCAAAGCATGCTAAAGAGATTGAATGGTGCATTCTGGGGCGATTTTAGTTGACAACATAGATAAATTAATCTACTCGACTAGTAAAGACTTACCTATCCGCACGGATCTGATCGCTACTATCTTTTAGCACCTTACCGCGTAAGCAAACTACGTGCAACTAAAACGGTTCAGCTCCTAAATCCACTTCGAGAGCTTAACCAACGAAGGGTGTGTCTGTCAGGAAGGTATTTCTACACGGACAACCTTACCTTTCCCTAAGAAGACCCGAGACTTAGCTAGATTTGACTCCTTTATTATAAATTAGGCCCCAGCGGGTAAGACTCACAAAAAGATAAAGCGCGACCGACAATATCTAATATTCCCCTCCACCTACAAATCATCAAGGTGACTGAAATAAAACGTAGCGTATATTCGACGAGTGGTCAGAGACAGGTTGTCCTACATAGCGAGTAAATAATGGCGAATCATACCCTTTTTGTCACAAATTCTGTTTGGCGTAATGTGTCCAATGCTAAACTGTGACCTGTATATTTTATATATTATTTAAATACTGAACATAATAGTTTTCAATGATTGATTTTCATTCCCAAAGATTTTATTTGGAACATTTTAAGTTTTTCACAAGATTATCAACATATTTTCTTCTTTTCACATTTACTCTTTGTGGAAATAGTTCATTTTTTCATAATATTCTTCTGAATAATACTTTTTCTACTTTCTCAACTACTTCGG